GTATTCATTTAGAACAGTACACTCCCCGTTCAAATCCAATAATCCAACACTGCACGAAATGTATGGAGAAAACAAAAGTCACGCGAATCGATTTGACACACAGCGCCACCATGTAACACACAGGCGAAACTGAGTAAAAAGTGTTGTAAAGATAGCTGTCAAATCGATTGGCGCCTATTTTCATCGGTTCTCATTACATTTCGCGCATTTTATTTCATACATTGTTTGTGACAACAACGATTTGTGTTAAAAGCAGTTTTCATCAGGCGCGCAAAAGTAAGTAAATCTAATTAAATTAAAATAAAAACATGCATAAAATCTACCATTTTCAAAAACTAATTCAAAATATATAAAAATCGATAAAAATAGTGAAACAACAAAAGAAAAACGACCAAACTTTGAAAATATTTCGCATCAAGCCTTGCTTCGTACGACTTGAACGTTGTGTTCTTCCCGGTGGGCAATAGTTTCGTCAGAATATATATTAGACGTCAGAAATTTATTCCATGCGACATCTACAAAAATCTCGCGGCCAAAACGAACTAGTGTGACAAATGACAACTGTGATATACAAAAATCATTCTGTCTTTTCAATTGAGATTTCACAACGGTAAGTTCTATAGCTATTGAAAAAATATTGGATTTTGTTTTATTTTCTTGTGAATTTTACTTTGATATTTCGGGTGTTATTTATTAGTATTATTATTTAAATATTTTCAGTTCAATAGAATTTATAAAGTGAAACAAATTAAATTTAAAAAAATATTCGATCGAAATTTTTTTTGGTTTCACGTGTTTGTGTTCAAGCAAAAATTAGCGCGAAAAAAGTGAGTATATTTATATATTGCAATTTTTTTCGATTATTTCTTCATATACACTATATGAATTGTGAATAATATTTTATTATAATAATTGTCTCGTTGGAAATCAAGTGGTTAATACACGAAGCAAGACCAAAAAAACAACAACCAATTCTCAACCAAATTCAACTGTTGCAAACGCACCAAAATGTGGTACACCAAAACGTGGTACACCAAAACGCGGTAAACCAAAGACACAACAAATGCCAGAATGTTCTGTTGTATTGCCCGTGCTCTCTGATAGGTACATAAATATGAAATTAAGTGGAACACGAGTAAAATTTAATCGTAATGTTGAATTTTTTGATGTTGAAAACAATAGTTCATCTTCGTCCGGGTTCAGCACGCCATTCGAAACATCGTAAAAATCATCGCGGTAGCCGTGATTCGTCACGCAAACACAATTCTCGTTCTTTATCTCGCTCTCGCTCTCGCTCTCACTATCGGTCACCATCAATTACATCCGAATCTGAATCGTCAAGTTCGCGTTCTCGGTCCCGAACGGCACCGTGGCCATCGTCGTCATCGGCGTTCTCCATCTCGAAAATCTCATCATCATTCTCGTCATCATTATCGCCGTCGTCGTCATTCATCGCCGTCAACCTCAACATCATTATCATCGGACTATGATGATCGATCTCGTCATCGATCCCGTTCCCACCGTGATGTGAAAGTCAAACGTCGTCGCTCACATAATGACGAATCGTCTGCTGATTCAATTTCGCCACCCGTCAAAGGACGTGGCCGCAACAAATCAGGCGTTGGTTAGTAGTTAAATCGTCAAGTTATTATTATAATTACTTTACTTATTTTTTTATTCATTTTTTGAAGTCGCAAATACTTCCCTGACACCTGTTCGACGTGCTCGTGCAAAATCAACTATTGGTGGGTTATTGATTTTTTTTTCAAATTTTTTTTTTTTTTACTGTTTTTCAAATTTTCAGGTAACAATGGCGATGCTGCTGCCACAAATACTACTCCGAAACCCGCTCGACGTGGACGTGCAAAATCAACTGTTGGTGGGTTATTGATTTTATTTAATAATTTTTTTCACTGTTGTTGCATTTATTTTCAATCTGTTTTCCAAATTTTCAGGTAACAATGCTGCTGTCATAAATACCACTCCAACACCCGCTCGACGTGCACGTGCAAAATCAATTGCTGGTGAGTATTTTAATCATCGATTTACTTGAAAGTTTTTGTTACTGTTAATGTTTATTTTACAATTCCCTTTTTTGCATTTTCAGAACGCAACGTTGATTCAGGACCCGTCAATACAACTACAATTCCTGCCAAGAGAAATGTTCGTGCCTTATCATTAAATGGTGAGTGTACAAATTTCTTCAATTAGTTTTATTATTGTTTAATTTATTTACATCTTGTTATACAGCTTCAATTGGAACAGCATCAGGTTATTACCCCACCAACTCTTTGCCTTGGTTGCCAAGAAAGATTTCTTTCACTTCATCGGATAACAGTTTGCGTGCACCGATTCCTACTACTACTGCTAAGCAGCTTCCTCAACTATTGCCAATTGAAAAGCCATCTTCACAATAGCCACCACTTCAAATCATTCAAATGCAAGGAACTGGCAGTCAACAAACTGCTCCAACAACGACACCAAATGATAATGGCGAAGTTGACTTGCTCCATGCTCAGATAAGCTTCAACAAAAAAGTGATGGAAGATTATGAACGTTTGCAAAAGGAATTTGAGCAGATCACCAAAGAAAGAGAATTGTACAAATCGTTGTACACCGAAACAAATGATCAACTAACGAAGTTGAAGAAGCCCACCGGTAAGAAGAAGCCGGACGAAAAAGAAAAAAGCGATGGCAACAATGTCGATCAAATGAAGGATCGCGACGCTGACAAGGAAGGTGAAGATAAGGAGAACATTCCAACCAACAATCAATAGATCTTATTTGATCTCGTTCGATCTCATTCAATGGAAAAAATTAAAAAATTTATCTCAAAGAAAAGCGTTTCTGTTTTAGTTACTAAAGTTTAGTTAAGTACTAAAAGAAAATTCTCAAATAAAATAAAAATAGAAGAAATCGAACAAATACAATAAATATATATATGCTTTTATTATTGCCATTGCGTTACATTTGCAAAATGTTTTCAGCC